TATATATATATATATATATATATATATATATATATATATATATATATATATATATATATATATAAATCTTGCTTTCTCTATTTGACATTTTTTGTACATTTTACTGCCAATACTGATTGAACAAAAAGTAATAAAAAAAAAATAAAGGAACAGGAGGTAGGAAGCATTTAAGGAGGAAAGGTTCCTCCCGGAACCAAACATTGAGGGGAAGATGGGACTTTTTCTAGTGTGACACATAAGAGTGCAGATTTTTTATTTTTATTTATTTATGTTCGAGGTTTTTGTATTTGCTATGTTAAACATTTTAAACGGTTTTTCGTAGGACGGGTTAGCACGCGGCTAACTTTCCGTTTGAAAATGGTGAGTAACGGAGTCAGCTGTTAGCGGCCCTGCTGCGGCGCACAGCTAACTAAAGCTAAATAATTGTTTCTATTTGCCATTAAAATTGCGAAACGTGAAGTGTTATTTTTAGATTATAATATAATAGATTTTTTTTACTTTTAAAGAATGAATTCAGTGATTTTTAAGCAAGAATGTTTACGAATTTAACTGTTTCCAGGTTGTGGTAATGTGCATTTTCCTATGTAATAGAATCAATGTTAATATGTAAACGGAAGAAGTGAAATATTTTTCAAGTTTTATACTTTTTGTATTGGATTTAGTTAAAGCTGACATCCAATACGAGTACTTAAGTAAAGGGCTAATGCTCTATTTTTCAGGACTGTTGGGAACATATCAGTGTTTTTGTTGTGATTTCTGTAATGTATAATTTTTTTTTTTTTTTTTTAACACTTTACATCCTTTGAAGACTCCAATTATTTCAATAATACTTTAATAATCCCAAAAGGAAATTCAGTAATTAAGATTAGTTAGTAAGATTGAATTCCCCAAACTTGGAATTATACTTGAGCTTATGGTAACATTTTAATATGAATAAAAAAAGGTAAAGAATGAAAATGTAACAATACATAATATACATTATAATGACGCATAGATTTATTATATTTCACTTTATCATCATAAAAGTATAATATAATCTTATTTCAAGCCTTGTTTTTTATTTTATTTTTTGCATTGTAGAGATATGCTAAGGTTGAATGTACTTTGATATCAGAAAAGGTTTTCTAAACTTCAATTGTTAATGTTTGTATTTTTAGTTTTATACAAAATTATTAGTTGTGTTGTGCCAGGAAGGCTGACTTGGGACATTTTTTTCTGAATCAGTTAAACTGCAAGAAATACTGTTTTGTCACTCAGAGCTGCACTTTCATTTGTTTGTAATCGCCTCCCTCCATGTTTTTGCAGATTTATCAGTTTCCCTGGATCCATACACCGGTGCGGACCGCCTTGGCAATCTGGAACCAGCTAACTAAAACTGATGTGAGGAATTTAATTCACTTAAATAAGCAGTAATATTACCACAAAACATAAACACATACCTACATTTAGAGGAGTGTCATGCAGGTTACCAAGCCAAGTCTGATTAGGCCAGTCTGAAACAGACTGGACCAATCACAGCACGAGAGGCGGGCCTATAATGCATCAGCGCTTTTCTGTAACCATAAGAGTCAAGATTGCTGCTGCAATGGAGCAATGATTTATCGATGCTATTATTTTGTGTCCAGAAAGATCTGTTTAGATCAGTACAATTTTCCTTAAAGAAATGAAGAAAAAAAGGTTTTTGTGTCACATCCGTAGTTATCGGATTGGTTTTAAACAGTTTTCCCTCACTCTGTTAGTCCCACCTATGAAATCAGGCTCTACCAGCTCCTTTCCAGACTAATACGCAGTAAATACAGCGTAACTTGTCTAGCTGGCCTCGCTATAGTAAGTAAGCACTGGATACACACTGCACCAAAGCAGTTTGAGTCGTTACGTCTATGTTTTAAAGTAGAAAAAGGAGACATTGTTGATAGAGAAGACCGTTTGCTTATAGGGAACATTGCTTCAATCCTAGATAACAAATGGGAATTATTTTTGGTTAATTTTACAGTACATTTCTTACACATTGCTCCTTTTGTTCCTGAAAAAAACAAAAACAAAAAAAAACAAGCAAATACCCCTTAATGAATTAGAAGAGGGTTTTTTTTTCTCTTTTTGTTAGATCCTAGAGCTGACTAAGGGCTCTGTGATGATGAGGGAGCGCAGCAGAGTGGAGGACACCATTCACTCCATGCAGAAAGCAGGAGCCAGAAGCCTGCAGGTGAGCCTGTCACTATTGCAAAATGTTGCTGTACGATAACCTGTCTCAGAAATTATTGCGATAAACTATTATTTTCTCCTGGGGTTTGAATTCATAGTTCTCCCACACTGCAGCTGTCGTGTTCAGCCTCGAAACCAACTCCATGTCTTGTTATTCCAAAGCTCAGCTGGCTCCCCAGGCTTTACCAATTACACTATAAGGGGAGGAATGGGCTCTGACCGATGTACCAGAGTAAAACCTAAATCTGTAGCAGAATATGGGAGATATGAGGAAAACGAACATGCAAACATAAATTATTAAGTTCATTTCAATCTGTTATGTGATTCATTATTGTTTACTGCAGTTCACGTTCCTTGGTTCTAAATAAACATGGGGATGTTTAATAGTTTCCATTTAGTGGCTTTCCTCAGAGAACCTAATACAAACTCTGCTTCACTTGTACAGTTGGAAACAAACTCTTTTGAAATTTCTTTTTAATTAGCTCTACAAATAGTTGCAAGAAATTCACATGGCACATTCTGTTTTCACTTTTGTTTTGTTTCGACGCACCTGTGTGCCACTATTGAGTTTTTCTTTTGCTTTCATAGGTTATCTCAGACTTTGATATGACGCTCACCAGATTTGCTTACCAAGGAAAGAGGGTCCCCACCACGCACAGTAAGACCAACAACTTTTTTATATTCTCATATTATTTTTAGGATACTGCTTTCATGTGTCCAGATGTTACATTTCAATTCAATTCAATTCAGTTTATGTATATAGCGCCAATTCACATCACAAGTCATCTCAAGGCATTTCACAGTTCACCAGATCATACAGTCAAATTGATTAAAAGTTTTCTATTTAAAGAAAACCAGTTGATTGCGAATTCACTATTTTATCTACTTGTCAGGAGCTTTATAAAGATAAGCATTTACTTTGAAAGACATGCAGGACACCAAGATTTAAAAGAGGCAGCGCTTTATAAAGATTTGTGGAAGCAAAAATCTTTTGTGCTTATTTTTCCTTTAACACCTAAAAAAGTCTTCACATTCTAATCATGTCCTTGTTTTTTTCAGACATCCTTAATAACAGGTTGTTGATAAATGAAGACTCCACAAAAAAGGTAGTTAATACAAAGAAGATGCCATTCTCATACTTATATTTATAAATATTAGTTGTATACAAATTAAAAGCATATTTTATTTGTTATTCTATATATTTCTATGTAGATCTCTACATTTAGAGCAAATTGAAGCAGAGGTGAACTTCCTTGTGTTTGATTAGGTCCATTCGGTCCAATGTAAAGTGGTATTTTGTATGTTAGCATTTCAGGTTGTTTATTTATTTTTGCTGTTTTGTTGCAGATGAAGGAGCTGTTAAATAGATATTATCCCATAGAAATTGATGCAAACCTCAGTCCTGAGGAGAAGCTGCCTTATATGGTGGAATGGTGAGAAAAACCCTTCGAAAAATATCATTTAGGATGGATATGCTTTATTCCGTATCCAGTTATTAAAACGTTTTATTTGAGCAATTCTTATTCAGAAATTGAATGTGTTTTTTTTTATATTGTTTTATTATGCAGTGTAATACATCTTTTCAATCTTTGGCTATTATGACTATTACTATGAAAGTCAAATAAAATCCAAAAGGATGTGTTTTAGAAAATTCAATAAGGGATAAAAATTGACTTTTCATTCAATTTTTTTTTATATACTGCTGGGTTGAAAGTTGCTCTACAAGGAAGGAAAAGTAAAGAAGATTCTCCAACTAAGCTCATTAAATGAAAGTTGAGTGGAAGGAAAAAAAGGGTTAGAAAAATCCATAAGCTTTTTGAGATGATAGTGAAATGAAGGAGTTTTTCATATTTTGAACTGTGGGTGAATTTAAAGCTTCAGGGTCGCCACACAGAAACCTGAGCACCTACGAGTAGGGAGGGGGATTGTCTTACAACTTTAAAGCCCTTCACGATTTCCTCTGTTGATGAACTTTATGGAAAGGCCGGTTTCATTTTGCAGAAGGACTTGCTCCTTCACATGCTGCAGCACAGCTGCCTGCTTTAAAGAAGTCAGATAAGAGCTGTTATTCAGAACCAGGCCACTGTAAAAGAGCTGAAGATTTCTTCAACACCTTATCAGACCCGCAATCTGATCAATTTCATGCTGCATTGATGTTGCATTATATGCAAATGCAGCCTATACAATCCAATCATATACTATCAAATGTGTCTAAATGAATGTATATAAACTCATACAAGATTAATATATAAACTTTTTAATGATATTCTAGTTTGAGGTATAATCTAGAATTTATGTGAATGCCTGCATTAGAAAATAAAATTCCTTTAATATTAGAAAAAGGGAAAAAAAAAACAAAGTTAGGATTATATTTTGGTATCCACATGAGGATGTGAAACTTTTCCTTTTGCTCTGCAGGTGGACTAAAGTCCATGAACTGCTGATTCAGCAGAGGATTAGGAAAGACATGCTGGCCCACGCTGTCAGGGAATCCAGTGCCATGCTCAGGTAACGGCTGTTACTGCTGTATCCTTCAAGAACAAAAACATTGTTTTAATCCCAGATGCTGTAAAATCCAGCATCCCTATGCTGTTCTGAGATTTAAGTGTCTTAAGAATATTATTCAGAGGTCCAGAGTTTTATTAAAAACTTTATTAAAAATTTTATTTATTTTTTTTGTTTAGTTTTTTTCCAAATTAACAATAACTTAAATGGAAGGCTTTTTACATCACTGATATATAAGAGATAGAAATACTTATATTGTCTGTTTTTATTTTTTTTTATTAATGAAGCTACTTTAAGCTTTCAGGTTAAATGTTTTGGCCTCAGTGTTAAAGTGCTGATGTGATATTCTCTGGTACTGTAACCTTTATAGTAAAAATATTTACCTTAAATAGGATCTAATTGCTTTTGTTTATAACATGAAAAAAAAACAGTATTTAATTGTACTCCTTCTCAGTTACTATAAAATGAAATATTAGACATGTTATCAGATTTGTTTTTTTCTATCTTGAGTTTGGTGCTCAACTTTGTAGTTCTAAAATGCTTTTAAAAAAATAAATGTTTTTTATCTTTGCAGGGCAAACAATGATCTTATTAGGAGTGATAAGTAGTGCTTTTTTAGTTATTTTAATAGTTTAAAGTTGTAGTAATAGAATCAGAAAAGGTATTTGGAGCTAATATTGGGTTTCAGTATTACCAGAAAGCGGCTCATGTCTGTCAGTGTCATAGTTTTGATTACAGAAGATCCACAAAAAAGATTCTTTGCATTATTAGGACTTTTACAGAGCTTAATTATAAGACTGAAACACTTAAAAAGGATAATGTACCACAAATTGTTTTTATATAGACTTAGAATTTCTCCGGATTACAGCAGGGGATTAGGACTTTGATGCCTTGAGACATTGGAAGCTTTTTATACGTTTATGTTCTACCTTAAAAGTATGAATAAACTATTAAAGTGAATAAATAAGGGAATTAAATGCCTTTCTAAAGGAAAGTGATCTATTTAGGCAATTTTAAAGCTCAGATGGAAATTCCTAAGTGTGTCAGTGGCTCTTTCATAGCTGTATAGGTACTTGGGGATAATAAAAACTCCTAAATTTTATTGTGTAAATATTTAGAAACTCTCTGGACTCTGCTTAGTTATTTTGCTGAAATATTTATCAAACAAGCAGGAAGTTTTGTAGCATTATTTGCATTTAATTTTATACCTGACAAACATTTTGTCCTTCCATCTTCATTAAAGGTAATGAAACCTGTCTAGAAACCAACAACTGATGTTTTTTTCAGGCAGGAAATTGAAGGAATAGTTAAACTTTGGAATGATGCGTTCATGTCTCCAGGGAAGGCTACCGGGTGTTTTTCGACTGTCTGGCTGAGCAACGGGTGCCTCTGTTGATCTTCTCTGCGGGAGTCGGCGACGTCCTGGAGGAGGTGATCCGACAGAATGACGTCTTTCATCCAAACGTCCACATCATCTCCAACTACATGGACTTTGACCATGCTGTGTGTAACAACACTTACAACTGCTGATTTCAGGAAAAAAAACTGTTAGTTAACATGTAACTGAGACTTTTTACTGTTTGGGATTATGAGATTGTACTTAATTCAGAAGAATTGTGTGAAAGGTTTTAGACACCATGTCAGGCTCATAATCTCAATCTGGGATCTATACCAACTCACTTTGTCTCATTATAAAGGGGATCCTCCAAGCCTTCAAAGGCCAACTGATCCACTCCTACAACAAAAGGGAAGGAGCTTTGTCCCACGCCACCGCGCTCAGAGAGCTGCACGGTCGACCCAACGTGCTGCTGCTGGGAGACTCTCTGGGAGACCTGAGCATGGCTGACGGCGTCTCTGAGGCGCAGAACATCCTGACGGTGGGCTTCCTCAATGATCAGGTGACCTAGACACTCTGGCTTTTATCACATCTTTCTCTAAAGCTGGGTCGCAAGGCAAGATTTTAAAATTTTCCGGTGATTTTTAAAACTTAGGAGACCCCAAAATATGACAATGAATAAATGTGTCCAACTAAGAAACAAAGAAGATGCTTTGTGGACTAATTTTGATTCAGAAAAAAAAAAAAACATTTCAGTTTGAAAAAGCATTGGTTAAAGGAGTGTAGGCGGAGTGAGCAGGGGCTCTACTTACTTTTTTTTTTATATTTCTTGGGGAATAATGCTTTTTGATTGGCTATCTGTTAAACGGACCAATCTAGATGGGATATAGGACCAAAATTTGCTTGATAAACTTTCAGTGTTCAGAACTGTCCTGACAATCAGTGAGCAGACCTGATCAGTCCAAAGGCACAAACAAGTTCATCACCCAGGGCAGGATTAACTTAACGTTTAAAAATGATGTGTCAAGTTTAGTGTAAATTGTGTCTTTGTTTCTGGTCAGGTGGAGGACAGAAAGGAGTCATACATGAACTCGTTTGACATCGTGCTTGTGAAGGACGAGACGATGGACGTCCCCAATGCCATCCTGAGATACATCATCTCAGAAACTAGAAAGGTGCACAGGAAAAAGGTGGACACTACTTGAAAGTATAAATATATTGCCCATGTTTTATTTACATTGTGACCTCAATCCAGACCTCAGGAGTCACCTCATTTTATTTTGCCCTCTGTTTTCATTTTGCGTAAGCACCACAGGTGTTCTACTTTAAATGTAAACAAATGAAGAAGGTGTGTTATCTTGTGTGAGATCCTGTTGTTTTCACATCAATGTGCTCCTTTTGGATTAGTTTCTTTCATGTCTGAACCGGGATGCTAATATGTTGTAAATCTCTCAAACTTTGAACCCAGAATTATATTAACCTTTTTTTTTTCTTTGCCTATTCTTGGTAAATGTAGGTACTTGATGTGTGTGTATATATAAAATATATATATATATATATGGTTAGTGTACAGAGGCTATAAATAAGGCTAAAGCAATGTTGCAATAAGCATTAAGCTCTTTTTAAGGCACAGAAATTGTAAACAATTAACTGTGGTGTTTAATGACTTATACCATCATAAGATGGCATTTTACTTAAGAATGGAATTCTTAAGTTGCACAAATGAATGCAGTGTTCTAGTCTGTAGTAATTTTTTAGTACTAAGAAAACTTGAAGTTATATTCAGCTTTTCTTAACCTCTAATTTAAAGACTGAAGAGAAATCAAATATTTTCTGTAATAGTAGAAAATACCAGCACCAGCACTATAAATCACAGCACATTTTTTCAACAGGGGGACAACAGTATGTCATGTTTCTCTTTTGAAAATGTAAACAAAATAAAATGTTTTTTTTTTTTTTTTTTCAAAGGTTTATTAAAACATTCAGGGACACAAAAAAAAGGTGCTTCTTTTATTTTTAACACAAAAAAATCCTCCAGAAAAGATTGTTTTGCACAGTTTTTTCTCAAATACTGTAAATAAACGGTGACGCTGGGTACGAGCTGTAGCTTGTTTTTATCGTTTGTCCCTGAGAGGAAATAAAAGCCTTTTTTTCCCTCCTCACAACTCTTCGTGTTTCGTTTGCTCCCGTTCCTTGTCCTCTTCGACTTTTAGTTTGAGCTCATTGACTGTTATCACGCCATCTTTGTTGCGGTCCTGGTTTTGAAACATGTCGGCCACAATTTCCTCCATGGTCATTCCTGGCTTTATCCGTCCTTTTCCTTCTGCAACCTGCAGCTTGATAAACTCCCCAAACTACGGTCAAAGAAAAGACAAAGGTAATTAAACTACAGGGCATATTGGTTCAAAGCCATTATATCCTGTTTAATCTCATTTCCATTATATTCAACTTCTATGGTGAATTGTCTGACAATGTTGTTCCTATTACAACCACCAGGTGGCGTCAAAGAAATTTATGAAACTTTTTCCTCACTCTAAACTAACATAATGAATTTTTACACTAAAATCAATAGTAGAATTTTTTCCCAGATCAAAACATATTTAAGTTTTCGAACATTTAACACAAATGCATCAAATTAATTTATTATAATACGTTTTCAGCAGCACTGCTGTAATTTAATTCCACAGAGACTGGACTAGTATAAGACGTACCTCTTCCAGCGGCACCTCTCCGTTCTTGTTCAGATCCATGGCTTCAAAAAGATCTGCAGGAGTGTCATCAAGCCACACGAACAGGTAACCAGGTGGGACACCTTTCTCAAAGCTCACCATTTCGATGTTGAAGACCAGCACTGCACTGCTTGGTACGCCAGCAGCTGAAGCACAACAGGAGACCAACTTTAGATTATAGGAACTACGAAACATTTTTATTTACATATACATAATTCCAAACTCTTAATTCAGTGGGTAAGTTAAGCCAAGTTTCCTTTCTTCCATCCCTAATTTAACGTTAAGATGCCTACAGCTATATGGAACAACTGTTTTAAGAGAGGAATATGTTTCTGAACTTGGTGAGGCTTGCTTTAAGATTAGATTTAATGTTGGCTTATTCTGAAATCTTGGAAAGGGTTAATTAACTGAGAAATTCCATGCTTCGTTAGATTCTTCATATACATGACATCTCCACAAAAACATGATTTTTGCATGTATGTATTCGATAAAATGGACGCATATTTTTTCTCACCTCCCCTCTCTCCGTGTCCGAGGTGAGGCGGCACTGTAATCCTCCTCTTCTCCCCGACACACATGCCCCTCAAGCCCTCATCCAGCCCATCGATCACCTTGTCCTGTCCCAGAGCAGCTTCCTGTTGGTTCTCGTAGTCGTCTCTTTAGAAGGAAACGCCATTTAAATCAAAAAGATTCTTGAGTGGTTAAAAAGAGGTTGATAGATACTCACGAGGAGAAGAGTAGAGTCCCGTCCATCAGGGTGCAGTTGTAATTGTAGCGCACCAGGTCGTTTACAGCAGTGGTGTCGTTGCACACCTCCGGTTTGTAGGTTACCTCAATCTCCACCTTGTCGCTGGGGTTATGGAAGTCGATGACGTGGATGTCGAAAACCAGAACGGCAGATGGAGGGATCACATCGCCTGAACACACCACAGAGAAATTATTTCATCCTCCTGGAAAGACTTCATGGATTCCAACTACATTGATTTTTTTTTTTTTTTAATACTGCAATAACTAACCAGCTCCTTGTTCTCCATAAGCAAGGTGTGGAGGAATGATGACCCTCCTCTTTTCCCCTATGCAGACTCCCAGTAGGGCCTGGTCCATACCTGGGATCACGTAGCCCATCCCAATGTAGGTGTTATATGTGCTGTTTCTCTGGTAGCTGTGATAAAAAAAAAATTAATTGCAGAGACCTTGCTGGTTAAAAAAACGTTCAAATTCAAGACATGACTTAAGAAAACGATGATCCACGCTGGGATATGAGCACACCTGGTGTCAAAGGTCACTCCGTTCAGGAAGGTCCCATTATAATGGTACCGGATGTAGTCCCCCGGCACAGACTTGCGAGTGCAGGACTCTGGAACATCCTGGTAGTCGATGGTGATGTTATCATTTGGGTTATAAACGTCTTCTAAGAGGACGTCAAAGACCAGCGTAGCCTGAGGGGGAATCATTGTGCCTGTAAAAGAGGAGCGTTTAACAAGTCAGAACCCAGGAGTCCTGTTATGAGCACCTCTTAGGAAAAACACATTTAGGAAGGAATAATTTGCTTTTCCATCTTTCATCAGCATAAGTTTAGAAAAGTAATTCATGGTAAAGAAAAGTTGTTTATTTCTTATACATTATATTTTATTGTCTTTCCTTCTAATGTGTCACCATAGAAAGGGGTATGTGGCATAAAGTAACAGTCTCCACCCCCCGTGGTTGCACACTACTTGTGTCTTACTTTTCCTACAAGATCAGAAAAAAATATACATATTTATCTTTTATTGAATAATTTCCAGCTGCCAAAATCCTGGACAGTCATGGTGTAGAAACTAAAGGAGCACAACACAGCGCATTAAGGTAAGGCTGAATTAAGCTAAGTAGGAGCAAACAACTTCCTGAAGATTGGCTACCAGAGTGAGAAGCAAAGCTAATTAACCAGCTAATGCTTATAAAGCTTCTGTTTTAAGAGCATGACTGAAGAGCATTTGAAACTTTGCACAATAAACTTAATTTCTTTCATTGTTTTCCATTTCAGAAAGAGAATGTTTTCATTTATCAGACCTTTGTCATTCTTCCACAACAATTTACTGACAGATAAGTATGAGAAATTATGGTTTTCACTAAATTTAAATGATTCTGTTATGCTAAACTTTAAATCACCAATTACAACCATAACAGGAACATTTTTGGTATGGACCAGTTTACTCTTTAATTTATTGGTCGGACCTGAAAACATCAATTTCAGTAGCAGCAGCATAAAATGTGCTTTCTGTGCAATCACTCCTCATTTCTCAGCATAAAACTAGAATAATTTTGAAAATAAAGGAAAAGATAAATGTAATTTATCTGCACTAACAACTGAATTAAGGCACTGATTCTATGAAGAGGTAATTGGAGAATAAAATAAAAATACTTTGGTGATATACATTTTCTAGAAATGCCGAGATGAATGAAGATATTTATTTTATTTGTATTACATTGTGAGAAAAGATCTCTCAGATACTTATACAATGTATATGGAAGTCCATAAACTTTTTACATTCTGTCGTCTTAAAACCGATACTTAAGTGTTTTTTTATTTGCAGGACCAATACAATATCATAGATATTATGGAAAGTAGAAGGAAATAGATGGAGCATTTTTTAAGGAAGCTGTTGGTTTGGTTGGAGGAGACTAGAACTCACTGGCCTACATGTGGAAAGCTAGATGTGGTAGAAAATTAATGCCGCAGATCCCCTTGAATGTGGGGATGTTTTCTTTAATTACCAGCAGGGGGAAGGAAGCTGCTCAGAAACAATTGGGAGATGGATAAAAGTAAAAACAGGATAATCCTCAGAGAAAACCTGTTAAAGGCTTAAAAAAATCAGACGGGTGTTTACAGAAGCTCTCTCTTTTTGCTGTTTCAACAAAGTAGACCTTTAAGGCTGAATACATATAAATGTCATATTTTTAAGATTTGTATTTGCAAAAACAAACATAAAACCCATATAACTTTTTTCTTCTGATTTAAATGTACCTTCTACATTATTTTTCTGTCACTTTAAATCAGTAAAATATAAACAAAAGGAAAGAACAAGGAGGAAAATGTAATGCATAAATCAATTGTTAAAAACTAAATATTTAATTAAATGTAAAAAACATAAATAAATGATAGAGGATTGAAAGTAACTGATTGTAAAAAGATGGACCTTCTTTCTTACCTGATCCTTTTTCTCCATAAGCTTTGAATGGTGGAATAACGATGTGTCTGATCTCGCCCACACACATCCCCAACAGGCCCTCGTCCAAGCCTTTGACCAGCCAGCCTTCGCCTACCAAGGAGTTGTGGGTCTGCTTCCTGTTGTAGCTACGCGGGGCTCACACAAGCGCAAAGTCAGACACATAACTTGTCACAGACAACACACCTGGACACAGTGCAGACACACACAGGCTGTCATTCTTTGCTCTACTTGATTTGTTTATCATTTAGCTGGATGCTCATTCCAGTTTAACTCCCAATTTATAAACAGGAAAGCTCTCCATTAAACAACCACATTCCCGAAATCACCTGGAGTCAAAGACGGTTCCGTCGAGCAGAGTGCCGTTGAAGTGGTAACGCACAAAGTCTGTACGCATCACTGAGCGCTTGCAGTCCTTGGGAGTACTGACTGTTTTGGTGACGACCAGGTCTTCCTTGTTCCACAGATCCAAGAGGTGGACGTTGAAGACCAGCGTGGAATCTGGAGGAATCACATCCCCTGGGGAAAAATGGTCAAAGCTTAAAATGGATGTCTGGGAAATCTGCTTTCATGGAAGGTTTTCATGGAATTACATGGTATTTATCCCCTAAAGTAGGTACTTCCTATTTACTCGTTTTGTGCATTTGGATATAAGCAATCAGTAATGCAAACACTTAATTGGTGGCAGCACCATACTGTGGAGAGACATTACAAAGCAAAGTTGGTGAGTTGATGGGGAGGTGGGTAGAGGTAAATATAGGGTAATCCAGATAAGTGGCTGTGAAAGATTTGAGACGGAGGCGGTGGTTTGTGTTCCAGGGGGACCCTTAAAGTACTGCCAGAACCATAATTGGGGGTGTTTGTACTCAAAACATATCCATGAGAATGGCCTAGACCAATCTAGACATAAATTCAATCAGGACTCCATAGAAACTTAAATATGTTCAAAGATGGCTGCTGTCCAAACAAACAATTTTAGATGACGGGTGCGAAGTCAGTCTGACTGGACAGGATAAATGGGGGCAAAGATTGCAGTTTTCCTGCTTTTCTCCAATCTTTAAAAAGCCTGACCAGAAATTCCCATTTTTCCAAAAAAACCCTTTTTCATAACTAATACCATCAGGTATTAAAAGGTCTCAATACACTAAGAAAGTTGCAGTCTTAATTCTTAGAAGAACGTTGAACAATACCAGCAAAGCAACACAAACTAAGGTAAAGTTAAATAAAGTTTATAGCATTGACAGTGGCGGATTTTCAGACCTTTGAAGAGGTTGAAAAGATGGTTGGATGAGATTTATTAAACATGCAAGTATCAGTTAATTGCCCAAAATTAAGGAAATCAGAGCCAATGAATTCTGCAAAGAACCGGCAGAGGTAGTACACACAAAAACATCACCATCATCCTGAAACTCCATTTGAATTTATAAAAATGTGCGTCAAATTACTTCATCTTTGGACATGGCAGCGGGACATTGGAGTGCTGCAGTGGTATCCTGCTCGCGGCTGCAGACTAGTAAATTTACAAAGTCTAATGACAGAAACGAGGAAGAAATATGGCAAAGAAACGCATTTCGGATTTGTCTTCTCGTGAGAGATTTCTCATTGACCACAGAGCGCACCTCAACATTTAGACACCTGTAACCAGGCAGAGCACCCTGCCTGTAGCTCAAAGTAAGAGCATGGTGCCGCCACGCACATTCATATCCATTCAGTTTAACATAATCATAGTATTTTAGAGTGTTATTTTGTGTTGTTTGTGTTATGGATATGGAGAACTGTTCCATAACGTTTAATAGTATAATAATATAATTATTTCCTTGTGGTTTGCGTAAAAGGATTATGGAGATAATAGAGTCACGTGTGACATAAACACAGGGACTCAGGTTCATACCAGCTGACCAAATCTATGTTGCTATAGTGTTATTGGGAAGTTTATTTAATAGCCCATATATTTACCTGAAAACTCAAGATGTCTCTGTGTTACAGAGCCTGGTTGAATGCACTATAGTGTATATGAGAATAAAGTAGTGAATCTCAATCTATTTACTTAATTATTTTTAATGTATTTTAAATAGACCTACTGCGATGGACTGGCGACCTGTCCAGGGTGGACCCCGCCTCTCGCCCATTGACTGCTGGAGATAGGCACCAGCACCCCTTGCGACCCCAATTGGGACAAGCGTGTCAGATAATGGATGGATGGATGGATGGATAAATCGACCTAAAAGCTCATAGGTCTGTTGTCCAAAAAAAAAATAAAATTCAAAGCACCCAAAATTATTTTTATTATATTTACTATATATTATGATATCACTATTTAATAGTACTTTAGGTTTTCTATAACACAACCAGGGGCGGCCATGGCCACCCTTAGCCAATCATTGGCCACCCCTACCATTTTTTCCCCCCCCTAATACAGATGGTGGCAGCAGTAATGCTCTCAAGTGGAATATTCATTTTAATTTTTCATGTATTACTTACTATTTTTTCATGTATTAAAAATTTCTTGATAACAAAAACACTGTGGTTAAATATACACATCAATATAGTAACATTAACCACTTAAAACGCGAGCCAGTGGACTCTAAATGGGGGTAATAGTTCAGATTGCATAACATTCCACCAGTAAAATTTTTACCAGCAGGTGGAGCCATTGCGCGCCGCTCAAAGCTGACACCAAAAGTTCCAAACCCCACAGCTCTGGAACTGTTACAGCTAGAGGTCTGAAATGTTCTGCATTTGTGTTTGACATGATGTAGAACACATATAATACAATAAAACCTGCTTTTTCTCAAGAATGTCTTTATTACTGCTGTTCAAAAAAGACCTATCATTTTGAAAATGAAAAATCAAATTTGTGTCATGTTTGAACTGATGTAGTTTGGTCTGTGTTCTACTCACCCAATTTTAATTTACATATTAGGAAACTAGAGGGTGTTAGCTTTCAAATAATTTATTTCACATGTAATTTGGGCTTACAGTTCCTTAGTTATTTGCTTTTTCATTTGGGTATACAAAATAGGTGAGGATTACCCAAAATGAGGTGGATGTTAAGAGGTTAAAGATAAGTACAGAATTCCTGCTCTTTTCAAAACTAGATTTTGTGTTTTATGAAGTAAAGAGAAAATGATGTGTCGCTGCATTCATCCAGGAGTCTACACTGAAATCATCATTTTTAGCCACCCCTGTGGCCACCCCTATAATTTTTCCCTCTAATACAGACAGTGGCAGCAGAATCTAGGGCTCTGTTTAACCCATTTGATGTAATTTATTTAAGGCTGAAACAATTCATCGGATTAATTGATTATTAAAATAATGTCAACAAATTTAGTAATCGATTACTGTAATTTTCAGATTATATAACAATGCGGCTTATCTATGGACTTTTACAGCTAACGGCCACTAGGGAAATACCTAAATCTATGGATTTTACCGTCCACCATGTTGACGTCACATTTGCTTCAACACACAAGTACGGTAGCCACGCGGTGCGTCTTGTATATGTACAAATCATGCAATTTAGCTTCTGCGGCTTATATTCAGGTGCGGCTAATAGTCTGAAAACTATGGTAATCATTAAAGGAGAAGTTCGGTTTTTTACACTTTAAGCCCATTTTCTGTAGTGTCCAGGATGAAATCGAATGATCGACACCAAAAGTTTGACAATTGCTCCTGTCTCTGCTTTTTGGCTCATTTAGAATCACCCCCTGGCTGCTTTAGAATGGCTTTCATAGAGCATGTCCGATAATGTCCTTAAAACAACCTTAAACGTTCTTTTTTTAAAATATGCTACTCACCGTGTCGTCAGCGCTGTTCAATGACGTTCCAAAAAAAGTTTCGTAAAGAAAAAACGTTCCTGTAGTGTTTTATTTAGCATTTTGTAAATCCCATTGAGTTCTGTAGGAATAGTCAATATTCCCCTGCCACCGGAAACGGAAATGGGGCCTGTTTACACAGTTGTAGTCTTTTCGCTTCACTCTGTGTACTCCGACGTCGAGGTGCTAACGTCTCTGTTAAACACTTTAAAAAACTCTGAAAATGGAATACGAAAGGTGGATTCTTGATTCTCGACGAAAAAAAGAACGTTTAAGGTTGTTTTAAGGACATTATCGGACATGCTCTATGCAAGCCATTCTAAAGCAGCCAGGAGTGGATTCTAAATGAGCCAAAAAGCAGAGACAGGACCAATTGTCAAACTTTTGGTGTCGATCATTCGATTTCATCCTGGACACTACAGAAAATGGGCTTAAAGTGTAAAAAACCGAACTTCTCCTTTAACTGGAGTATAGAGACTCTAAAAGGCATCCCCAAACTCGGTCCTCAAGGCCCCCTGTCCTGCAGGTTTTAGAGGTTTCTCTGCTTCAGCACAGCTGGTTATAATGATTGCAGTAGACCAAAAGCCTGTTAATCAGCTTTCAATTAAAATCAGCTGTGCTGGAGCAAGGAAACCTCTAAAACCTGCAGGACAGGGGGCCTTGAGGACCGATTTTGGGAATGCCTGTTCTAGAAGATGTCTTTAGCTCACAGAGTGATCCACTTAGAGCAGGAATTATACCAAAACTGTAAAAAAAAAAAAAAATTCCATTTTAGATAAAACATGTTTTCGTCTGTCAATATTCTCCATCCAGAACTCCTCTACTGCTGCAACAAAGCTGTATTGTAAATTATAAACATGTTATTCACATCTAATTTTTGGTAGGGACAAGTAGTTCAGTTTAAAATGTTGGTAGGGACATGTCCCTATGGTCCCTATACAAACCTAAGCCTATGGGTTCTGGCCACTTTCGGCCCCCCCCTCAGAGTTCATTGGTTATTGCGTGGCCACCCTTATAAAATGTTCTGGCTAAGCCTCTGAACAGACCCAGCAGAGCGCTCCTACCTGCCCCTGCGCTCCCATAGGCCAGGTGTGGAGGGATGGTGATTTTCCTGCGCTCATTCACACACATCCCCTGCAGGCCTTTATCAACTCCTGCAATGAGCCGACCCTCCCCGATCAGGCCCACTTTGGCTGCTCCTTTCTCATAGCTGCAAAGGGAAAAAAAATAAAAAAGTGGGTCAACTTCAGATTGTTTATATCTGCAGGGCATGCTTTATGCTTTAAACCTGTTTTAACCTGCATCTCTTCACTCCTTTGAAAGTCAAAAACTTTTTCAGGCGAGCAACTTTTTAAAAACCAGCAAACAAAAGTTCAACATTTCAGATAAATAAATATAAACTGACCTGGAATCCAGCGTCTTTCCGTCCATAAATGTGGCGTTATAATGGTAGCGGACATAATCTCCTTCCTTGGCCTCTCTTGCGCACTCTTTGGGGATGCCATATCTGTCCACGACTACATCTCCCAAAACGGGACTGGGGTTACACTCCACGGAAAACCACGCAGCGAGGAACGATAAAACAACGCAAAGGGGAAGCATTTTTACAATAAGGGGTTAAATAAATTAAATTTGATGTAAAAACAGCAGAAAGGGAGGTCATTAGGCCAAATTTAAAAGAAGGAGAGAGGATCTAAAAGCCTGCGGGTGGGGAGCGCGTTTTCTTTCCACGCAGAGGGCTGCGGATGTGGAGCAGGGCTGTAAACGTGGACAGTCTCCAGGTCTGCTGTAGGACTTTTTTTTTTTTTTTTAAACCAAAGTGGGAGGAATGTTGAAGCAGAAGGAAGGACTTTAGTCCAAATTTCCACAATAAGAAATGAGCCCCTTCTTCTCCAAGCAGTAGAAAACCAGCTACCCCTTTATAATCCCTCTACTTTATGTTACTAAAACTTCCTAAATATCAAATTTACTTATTTTCTTTTTTGTGTTGTTTTCTTTTCTACATTTAATAAATGTTAGTGTTTTCAGAATAAAATCTGTGTGAGATCTTAGAGTTCATCTCAAGCTGAAAAACTGAAACACTGATTTTTATTCTTGGTTTTATTTTGAAATCAAAGCAGCTGCCTGCAGCTGTACTCACACAGAGACCGCCTCTCAGAGCCGTAAAGCAACCTGAGCTCCACGACTGGCACTTTTCACCAATGCTTTCTCCATGTCTGACACTCAGTCAGAAGCTGCAAATGTGTAAAATGTTTTTATTAGGCCTAATTGTGGAAGGATCTCAGTGAAGGGATTGTTTTTGCATAAATGCAGCTCTAAGCAACCCCCTTCTCCAACACATTGAATTCATTTAAGTAATAAGAAAGATTTTAACAAACAATAGAACATTTTTAAGGATCCAAAGCTGCTAAATTGAAATAGTAACTGAGTAAAATTTCTTATTATGTATTAAAACTGTAATAAAATACAGATACTTGATGTTTAACCCTTTAAAGGGCAAGTTACCATTTTAGGTCCCTTCCCTACCCCTTACAAATGGAGTCCCCTTGTCCCTCAGTGAGGTCTAGAAGCACAAAATCTATATCCATCCATTCAGCAAAGATACTGCTACATGGCTCTGCATCTAATTTTGGCATTTGACCAATTAGATGAGCCCTTGAATGATATATTAACCACTGTAAATTAAGTTGAAAAAAGAAAAAAAGGTAAAAAGCTAATTGAAAAGTTACAAATTAAAGTTAATAAGCCTAGTTAACAATTATATTTAGGTCTATAAACTAAAGTAAGTAAGTACCAGTATCAGCATTAATGCCGCTAAGGTTATGTTGTACAAAAAAAAAAAAAATGTGTTTCTTTCACTCTGAGTGTTTTTCATGAATTTCTTATAGAAGCACTTTGGTTATTTTTCTTAATATATTTGGGCAAATTGGCGTTTCTTGTTATTACATTGACATTAATTTTTGCCATCAAAATATCCATATTTTTTTAATGTTACAAAGGTAATAAGGTCTTGTCCTGGATTCTAATAACACTATTGGCTCAATACTTTCAAAGTATTTTACTGATTGCCCTGTAAAGGGTAAATTACTACTACAGTCTTCTAGATTGAATTTTCACTTCAGCTTCATTGGACTCAGGAATCATAAGAGAATATAAAAATGTACACAATATACTGATACAAAATGTATCAGTTTAAATGTTCAACAGCCTGTCACAGTATATGTGGTACACATTACTCTAAAGATCACTGGGGGAAGGAATGTGATGGTGAGAAAACATTTAAAAATTGTTCAGACTTTGATTGGCTTATAGGTTTTTATGTTTGTGACAGGTACTCGAGTATAGTTGTGCCTTAACAGAATTTGTATAAATAATCACTGCAGTTTTTAGCAGAAATTCCCCACCTCACATTTATTTTTTCTATAGATCACAGGCTTTGCTTGAAGTAGGCTATTGTAAGCAGCTTTCAGGCCCAATCTGTCGTGCACAGCCTTCATAAAATGCTCAAAGTCAGGATTCAAAACCAAGACCTTCTTGGTAATGAAGTATATCCCTCTGCAGCCCTTGTTCATCACAGGAACTCTAATAAAAAATAAAATAAAAATCTCGTAATTGCACATGTGAAATTTAGGATTTTGTATTTGAATTTATGGATTTAACAACTATGTATTTAGAAAACTATTGATACTCAAGTGGCCATTAATAAAATTACTTGACATGATTCCAGATCCAATTTTCCAATTATGTTATTGGAATAATGTATTTATGACATTATTACAGTTTTTAATATTTTCAGTGATGCTTTGATCAGTTTACATATTCCATTTATCAGCAAAGATTTTTTTAAATAAAATATAACAGTTTTATAAATCCAAAGCTGTTTTTAAAGAATTACTCTATTCAACTTTGACCAGTGCAGATATGGTATATTTTAAACAAGATATGAACAGATAAAAACAAGAGGTAAAAAATAAATATCGAAATACAGGAAATTATCCTATTTTTTTAACCAAACTTCATTATCGATTCCAGCTATTGGCTGAAGATCAACCGAGTTCCCTTCCTTCCATTTACACCAAAAATAGAAAGTTGATGACAAAATCTATAAAGTAATAGTTTCCCACAAGTGGACTCTTATAATTTTCATAGTTTTTTATGATCACTTTGCCACCAAAACAACACAACACTGGTAAATTCGGAATTTAGTGCATTTAAAACAGCTTTGAAACATTTTTTCCAATAAAAATTAAAAATTTGTTAGTGAAAGACCTACTTAACATAACAGTGTTGCCTGCTTGGTTTCCCCATAGGAGAACACACCCTGGAGGGAGAGACTTATTGCACATCTTAGAAATAACCATTTGCTTTATAAGAATTCCAGTTTAAAGAAATTAAGAAAAAAAACAAAGAAAAATAGGTAACCTCTTCATCACCCTTAACAATAAAGAGAAACAGTTATTTTCCAGATGCTCCAATCAAAAGGAAATTAGAACCTAAATAAAGCTGGCTGTAGATCAGAAGGTAAGCTCTCTATTTTACTACCAGCTGCTGGCCGGTGCTGAGAAACCTGAGCCTGAAGCTTCAAAGACCCAATCCTAGAATTCCCACATACCCCTGAGCGCTTCACCAGACCACCACACTAATACTGGAAAAGCAGACGAGAGGAGGAATAAACGGGGATGTTCTCCTATCATGGTTGGACTGGGCGTAAAACCAGGCTTCCATTTCTTATTTTTACTAATCTTTTGGGTAAAGTTTGCTGTTAGGAAATCTGCACCATATGAAAGCTTCAGAAGTTTTCCAAAAGAAGAACTTATTCCCCTTAACACAGCCTACAGAAAGGCGCTGGACAGCTACGCAGCAGGAAACTGGACCGAATCCATCCGGTACTTGGAGCTGAGTTTGCATTTGCACAGACATTTTAAGGAAAGTGTGAGGTATTGTGTGATCCGCTGCAACAGCAGCAGTCATGAGGAGCCGCTTTTCACCGCAGCAGCCTTGGATCTGGGGGCCCCTTTAAGCGTTCACTGGCACCTAATGAGAATGGCTTCCTGTCAGAAGAAATGCAGAGCGCATTTCCCAGTGCTGCAGCTGCCACCTCCCAGCAGGGAGATCCTGGAGGAGTTCAGAAGAAGATCTCCTTACAGATACCTGCACTTTGCCCTTTCCAAGGTGAGCGAGAGCTTTGTCTAATCTACGGACTGAAAATATTTGGATGCACTTCATTACTGAGAGAACTTACAGAAAAAGTAAACTGGTGTGAGTCCTGCAGCACAGCTGGCTGAAAGTTGGAAGCTTAAAGCTTTCAGGAGGACTCATCGATGTGAATGCTTGACAGAAAAATTACACAAAATCAACATTTTAGCACAGATTTAGCCTTTAAAAGAATTTGGTCTTAAATATTTGAACAGGGGAGAACAGCTCCTGTTGTGCCATATGCCATGGTCATGGAATGCCATGATCATAGCAAGTCACATGGCAAGACACAGGTGTGACTTGCCACCCCCCTCTGTGTTGAGGACA